CATCTTATAGCTGAACAGTGTATAAGGATGGCAGAAGAATTGATGTCTTTGAGCTGTGGTGTCGAAGAGCATACCTGAATATCCCATGGACTGCCTGAAGACAAACATGTCTTTGGTAAAGTGTAGCCAGAATGCTTCTTGAAGGCAAAGATGACCCAGTTTTTTCTCTCATATGTTGATCATGTTGCTAGGAGAGGCTATTCTTAGGAATGGGACATCATGCTTGGAAAGGTACAGGGTCTGCAGAAGGAAGACCTTAAATGAGATAGACTGACACAGTGACAGCTACACTGGGTTTAAGTGTGTCAGAGATGATGAGGATGGCACAGGATAGTACAGGATTTAGATCTATTGTTCATAGGATCTCTATGAATTGTACTTAACAGCACCTAACAACAATGGAAAACGGCTAAGAAAAGTGCTCTTTTTAATATGCTGATTAAACAGTGACTGAAGGACAGAAAATGCAGGCTCTATCTATTCCTAAACTGTTCTATACATGCAGCCAGAACATTCTGAATTCAGTGGGGGTCAACGTAGCCCTTATTGTGAAGAAACCTTTTCTTGGAAAATACCTCTTCACATTTGGTTGGCTCTCCAACCCCAGATCCCACCCAGAAAATCAAACTGGCACTTGGCTGTGACTGACTGGCTCTTTTCTAAACTTTTTAGGTAGAATTTTTTACATTGTTTTAACTTCAGAACAAGAACTCCAGCCCACTTCATTTGTCAATTATGTAGTGTTCCAGCAAGAGCTCTTTTGTGGCCAGGACATTTGGGTGGAGGAAGGTGGTCCCTATAGAAATCCTCCAGATTGGCAGAGTGCTCAAGAGTGACTGCACAAGCAGTTTCCTGAAAGCACTTCACAGGTAAGGAGGTTGAGAACTTGAAATCAGACCCATTTTTCTGTTCACCCTCATTTACTGAGGCATAATCATTCCCATCACTATTTAGTTCCAAGACAACTGCCTACATTTATTATTGTGTGTACACTGTTAGATATGCTACAGGCATTTGCCATTTTGTCTTTGTTATTGAGTATTTGCTCTATAACCAGTACTACCAGTAGCCCTCCAGCAGGGCTTTTCTGTCTGTTCTAGAGCCTCCTTTAAACTGGGAGGCCTGACCTTCCTTGGAATTCATCATACATCTTGACCTTTCCCTGTGTTGAGCTTCCCAGCACAGGGACCTGAATCAAAGGATGTACTCTGCTCCTAGCTCTTATAATTTGAGGATAATGTGGTCTCCTTTTTCTCTTGGTTCTTTTTCTTTCCTTTAAGACAAATGGTGATGCAGGCTATACTTTAGGAAACCTCCCATTTAATCACATCAGGGTTGTGACCAAATTAAGGATGTATCCCACCCCAGATGCCTTACAACTGATTAGCAGATCATAACCTAGACCACATCATGAGGAATGACTACATCATTACAAAACTCCCTCTAATTCCACCTCATTAACTCTGTAGAGGTTAGGATTGACAACATAAAGGATCATTACATTATATAAGATTCATGGCCTACCCAAATTGACACATATGTTTGGGAGACTTCATTTAACTCTTGAGGTGACTAATGGTCTCTTTAAACAGGTCAGTTTCCACAGATATTTGATGTAAATTTGAATCTAGGACAATGAGATTACAAAGTCTGCAAACGTAACTGATGGTATACTGTTGTTCACAAATCAGAACCCTGGAAGCCTTCCCATTTAATTGGTCTCTAAATCCTGTCAAATCTGAGGGATTATCTTCCCTCAGAGAAGTACCCTGCTACCCACATCTCACTTCTCTCATCCTTCAGCCTTGATTTGACCCTGCCTTCTGTTTTCATTGTTTCCATTCTCTCCAAGTCTATCCTCTGCCGCCTAAAAATGAACTGTAGAAAACTTGTCTCAATGTCTCTCCATGGCTTCAAATCTTAGTGCTGCTTCCATTTTCACAGAGTAAACAACTCAGCCACCTGAAGACTTTTTGTGAGATGAGAACTGTCTCCAGCTTGTTCCCGTCACTCTGGCTCTAGTCACACTGTCTAGGATTGCAATCCTTGCACTTCTGGTTTTCCAAAGATAACCTAATGGTATGGTCTCTCTCTTACCTACCTTCCAGAAAGTTCTAGGGTTTAAGTCACTGCAGCTCACTTGCCCCCTGGTAAATGCTTTCTCAATGTTTTCAACAATCAGTAGTCATTGTTCATGGATCAAATCCTTTAAAAAAATAACTCTTAAATAACTTAAAATTTACAGAGCTATTGCAAGGACAGTAGAGAGAATTCCTGCATACTACTCACCTGGCTCCTCCCAGATCGCATCACAACTAATTACTGCACAATTAGCAAAACTAATACATTAGCAATACTTAAAACTACAGATTGTTATTCAGGTTTCACCATTTCCCACCAAAGTTCTTTTTCCTTTCCAAGATTTCACACTGTATTTAGTTATACCTGCTTTAAAAAGAAAAACTCAAAACACTCCTTCCCCATTCAGTAGTTTCCAAATCAGTGATCCTCTATGTGCCCTACGGGACAGGATGGACATGCCCCACAGGGTTTCAAGACTGTAATCTTTACTCGAGACTGTCTCCTGCTGAGAAGCTGATAGGTTCCAGCCATATACCCACGTAGCAGCTGCGCACTACCAAGTCTCCTTACCAAAGTGCCCTGTTTTTGTTACAGAGCCTGTGTTAAGTATTGCACAGCGACCCTCTGAATAATAGATCTGAACCCTGTCCTAGCTTGTGCTGTCCTCATTTCTGACACACTTGAGCCCATTCCTGCACACTGTGTCCATCTTTTTTATAATTATTATTTGTGTGTGTACCGTCAAGTCAGATCTGACTGGTTGTGTCAGTCCATCTTGTTGAGGGTATCCCTTTCTTTCCCAAGCATGAAACCTTTTCCAAAGAATAGCCTCTTCTAGCAAAGTTCCATAGTCTTCCAATCAGTGAGGTAATTGGCAAACAGAGCTCCTTAATCTTATCCAATGAGTGAGGTAATTATACTGTCTTTGACCTTGACATTTTAAAAGAGTATTTGTGAAGTCCTCACTCATTTTGGGTTTGGGTTTTCCCCTCCTGAAGGCCATAGATTTTTGTGAAAAGTACTTTCCATGAGCACATCTTATTAGGGGATCAGTGGAGCCATTGTGTTCACTGATGGACAAATGGATTGTTGTTGTTATGTGCCATCGAGTCGTTTGCGACTCATAGCGACCCTATGTACAACAGCCCTAAACCCTGCTCTATCCTGTGCCAATCGCATTGCCTCTGACACACCCATCCCGATTACCCCAGTCACTGAATCAATCCACCTCATAGAGGGTCTTCCCCTCCTGCGCTGTCCCTCTACTCTACCCAGCATGATGTCCCTCTCTAAAGACCTGTCTCTCCTTACAACATGTCCAAAGTATGTCAGATGAAGCCCCAGAATCCTTGCCCCCAAGGAGCAGCCTGGTTTAACCCTCTCTAGGATGAATCTGTTTGTTTTCTTGGCAGTCCATGGTACATTCCATACTCTTCTCCAGCACCACAGCTCAAAGGCGTCAATTCTCCTTCTATCCTCCCTAGTCATTGTCCAACTCTCTGATGCATAACAAGTGATTGCAAAAACCATGGCCTGTATCAGGCGCACCTTAGTCTCCAGAGAGACACCGTTGCTCTTGAGTACTTTAGAGAGGTTCCTAACCGCAGACTTTCCCATCGCAATACGTTTTGTTTTTTTTTTTATTTCCTGGCTACTGGTGCCAAGAGTGTTGACCGTGGATCCGAGCAAACTGAAGCTGTGAACAATCTCAATCTCTTCGCCATTAAGGATTCCACCAATTCAATCATTGTAAAGTCACCGCCCATATGCAGGCACTCCGGGAAGGAACCACACAAGTCCTCCTTTTTAGAGCACCTATCAATCTCCACAGGAGATGGCCTTATCCTTCTTCCAGAGTAACTGGTGGGTTAGCACAACACACAGGCATGAAAATGTGGAGTTAAACAAAAACAAACAAAATAACCCACAACTAACTGCTCTGGTGGCTTAGTGCTAAGGAGTTGCACTGCCAAGACAAAGGCAAACAATTCTAATCCACGAGGGGATCTGCAGGGAAAAGCACTCTTCTCCCAGAAATTGACAACCTCTGCAAATCGTTGGAGTTGCTTCCGACCGGACTGCAGTTGTTCCACTGCCTCGAAGAAGCAGCATGTGTGAAATGTAGATGCTAGAACTCCTGGGAATGATGTCGTTTAGTACCTTGCACAAAGTTGCTAAGTGGCACTATTTTAATAGGTTTATTCTAGAGTAACCAGAAATTCCTGTGGCCTAAGTTAGGGGAAATTTTAAAAGCTAAAATGAGCCTCCATTGGACACTGGGAACTCCAACCCCAAATTCATTGCCAAGAAGTTGGAACTGATTCATACAGGATCCTCCAGCTGGTTGAGAGGCTGTAAATTGCAGAGCCCTGGTGGATTCAAACTGCCAGAGAGGTGCTAGTACAACTCCCTTATATAGACTAGGCCACCAGAACTCCCCATAGGATTCTGGGGGAAACTGCAACTCATAAGCTGTTCCTCCAGAGGGGTTTTCAAAAGCTGTAAATGCACAAGAAATGGCCCATCTTTTGGTTCTAATCCTTCGGTGAGTTCGAACCGCCAAAGAGGCGTGGCTTCTGCGCTGGCAGCACAACGCCATATGGGTGCTCCCTTTATAGAGTTCTAACAAAAATGAGGTGCTAAATGGCTTCTGTAAGGTAACACAAGGCTGAGTTTGGAAGTCTAACCTAGCCCTAACCACTAAGCAGAGTTCAACATAAAAATTCCAAAGGGAGTCCCTCTACAATCTTAAGGAATGTCTTAAACGCATCTTCATTTCGTACTTATGGGGTTTCAAGCATCTCAGTACTTACATCCCCTAGCCCACTACACTTCACTCCAGAGGTTCGAGGGCCAGTTCAGACTTATGAGAGTTTAAAAACGTCTTGTAAGACCTAGAAGCAACAGCTTTCCAGCACATGGCTAAAAAGACCTACTCTGCGCGTCCAACTAGCGCAAGGTAACTTCCATGCTCTAGGAGGCTGGCGGAGGCCCGCCCTCCCCACGTTGGCTCTGATAGGCGGACCGAGTCGTCTGTTTTGACAGGTCCTATGCGCAGGCGCAGAAGGACACCGAGGCTGGGCCGAGTGCTAGTGTGGCTGAGCTACTCGACCGATCAGAGATGGTGAGTGTCCTCTGCCCGGTAGTTGAGTACGTCCGAGCGTGGTGTGGTTTCTCCTCTTTAAGGGGTCTTCGAAAGCCGAGCGGGGAACCTCAGGGGTTAGGCTCGGGCTGACTGGAGGACGGAACCCGAGCGACATATACCTTCAGACCAGGGCCTAGGGAACTGAGGCGGGGCCGCCGGATGTGGCTGCCCCGGGACCGGAAGCGGGGCTCGGGGCTTGGCCAGGAACCTCTGGAGGCGCAAAGGCCGTCCCTAAGGGTCAGCATCCTGGCGTCCTGGGCCTTGTAGCGCCTTAACCACGATGATAACCTTTCCTGGACTCTTACGCGTGGTTGGTACTGCTGAGTGCTTTAGGTAATTTTCCTCCTCATCACGGCCCGCTGAGGTAGGTGCCACCATTTTCCCCATTTTACATACTTGGAATCCAAAGCCCGATGGAATTAAGAACCTTGAAAGTGGATTTGATCTCTAAAAGCTTGACTTTCCCCGCCCCGAACCACGTTCGGAATTGCAGTTCTGAGTCAGACGGGCGGAGCCCCCAGCTGGCCACCTTGTTGGAAGGGTGCCTGGAACCGTCACAGGTGGTGATGTTTTTAATGCTCACGTGTGCAAAATTTGACAAGACCTTTGTTCATCATGCCTTTTCAGACAGAATAATAAGATTTTAAAACTTTTGTATAAATTTGAAAATAAAACAGACCCATGGTCTAGAAGCAACCGTTACACATACTTTCACTCCTCTTCAGTCTTATGTCGTTTGTCTCCTACTGAATAAACACTTAAACCCTACGTTATTTATTATTACACCAGAGAATGTCTTCACGTGGTAATACTTTGTGTAACTTCATTTTACAAGTTTTTACAGTGAAATAAATGCACACAGCAAAAAAGAATAAAAGCATTTCCCTTCCAATCCTAACCTTCATTCAGCCTCAGTATATTTTACATTTTGATAAAAGTAGCCGTTGATAATGATATAAAATGCATCCATAATTTGCAGTTTTAAACTTTGTATGTCCTTTTTCCTGTTTGTTCACATATGCAGATTTTTCACTACACATTAATTTTTAAATGTGTTTTTTATGTGTCAAAAGCAGTAGACCTTGTTTCCTCATCATTTTTAGTTACTACCAAATAGCTGTCGCATCATTTGCCTCTATTTCGATGGCTTCTAGTTTTTTATCAGTAGAGATAATGCTATAATGAATGGTTCGATGTGCGTTTGGGGGGGTGTGTATAGTTTGTTGCCATTGTGTTTTGGATTTAACTTACTGAATATTTCCTTGATACCAAGTCTCAAGAAGAATTTCAGGGGCAGAGGGACTGTACATTGTCCACAGAAAGTCTTTCTTGTGCCAATTTTGCCATGACCTTCCCCGCATTTTAAAAGCTACCATTTCAGAATTATTGCTGAGTATATGTATATATGTATATTTCATTTACAGGAAATTTTCTATGTGTGTGTAATTTCTTTTAGGTATAATTTCTATTAGTATCTTTCCTCCTTGCTTGTTTGCACTTGATCTGTTTTGCTGTAATTTTGTGTGATATGTTTGGAATTGCTCTCTCATATTTAATGCAAATGCTTTTCTATTTGATCATTTTTGTCTTCCATAAGCTTGACAAGTATTAATCAGATTGGTCACAGTTCTTTTGTGAAGCATTTGCTTTAGATCTTTATTTTCCCTACATAAAACCAATAAAGAATCCTTGAGTTTTATTGCAACTCTTTTTTTTTTTTTTCACCCGGCTCCACATGCACTTAGGGACTGGAGAATCCAAGAACTTTGTCCCCTTCCTGTTGCAGAGGCCACTGCACAGAATAGAAGTGGAGATGTCTGTTGGCTCTGTGAAACTGTATATCCAGACCCAGTTATTTCTGGTACCAGTTGTGGCAAACGGTGAGCCAGCGTTAGCCTAACTAGGACGCTCAAAAAGGACTGTCCTTTCTCATCCACACATCCCCTAATTAATTGCTTGTGACTTTAGGGTAATTTCTCCTTGCCCCCATACTTGGCTCCTTTAGGTCTGGGAGTCTGCATTTCCTGGAGAGTTTTCTAGACCTAATATCCCAGAGTGATCCAGGCCTACCTACCCTACAAATTGGAGAAGCTGTTCTCCAGTCTTAACAGGGGAAAATTATAGTAGGTTTGACTACATAAAAAGTTTAAATATCTGGTTGTTGCAAAAAACTCCTGCAATTGAATGAAAAAAAAAAAAAACTGAGGGAAGTACCTTTATACTTTCCCCATTTTTATACATTTATAAGTTGTGTTTTTACAAATCAACAAAATTTGTAGAAAAATCAAGACTCAAAGGAGAGATGAAATTATTATTCTATTTCAACTTTACTAATAACTTCAAGAATGTTTGCTTCATATAATTTTTGGTTTTGCCTAAGGAAAAGCTAAAAAACTTGGAAATACTAGTCCTCTTTCTGTTGCTTTAACATAAGAATCTTGCACATTACTGTTTTCCTTTGGCTGCCTGAAGTGCTTGCCTTCATTATAATTGAGTTCCTGGCTTAAAAGTCGTAACTGCAGATGTTCCTGATCACCACAGCCGAGTGCTTTCCCCACCTGCTGCATGAATATTGTTTATTGAGCTCTCTGGCAAAACTCACCATTTGTAGTCACTCATATACCCGGTTATTCTCTTGATCCGCTGAGTGGCTTTGGGTAAAACTCACCTTTCTGAACCTTAGTTTTCCTTATCTGTTAAAATGATGATCATTATTAATCATGGAAGGTGGTCAAAAAGTTCACAATAGATTTAGTAATTGTCCCATTACTGTTTAAGTACTGAGTAATGTTTACATGTGTGTTCATCCTTCCTTAGAATTTGCATAAGCTTCCAGATCTGTTTCTCATGAAATTTAGAACACTTAATTGTTAGCTCTTGTTCACAACTTTAAGGTCAAGGAGCTGAAATGCTATTTATTCTCTTTATTGAACTTATCCTGAGCCATGTAACTAGGTCTAAGTCTCTGCTCCCAAGTGCTTTAGAAAACAGATGCGAAACAGTTAGACTCCATTGTGAGAAATGAAGAGGAGGTGCTGTGAGTTCTCAGAAGAGAAGCAAAAGGCTGTTGCAAAAGTCTTCCTGCAGGAGGCTTATGAGCAGAATCCAGTTGGGATTTAGCCACACGAAGCAATCAAGTAGAGAATGTTTCTTCATCCGGAAGGGGAGGGAACAGTGTATGCCAAGTGTCACGGATAGAGGTCAGCGCTCACTGCAGGCTGTTTGGCTCCTGCAGTTCATTTTTCATACAGCAAGACTGATCATTCCTTTCAAAACATCAAGTCATTCCTTACCACAAACATAACAGTGGCTTCCCACTTCATTCCCAGTAAAAACCAGTCACTGTGGTGTCTCTGATCTGGTTCTGGCTCCCTCTTCGTTTGGCCACCTCCACTCTTCCACGGCCTCACTTCATTGCACCTACTAGAGCTTCGTCACTTCTCCCACCTTCACAACATTTTGTGCTTTATCTTCCTGACATCAGGAACCCCCTCTGAAAATCCACCTTCATTTCCTGTAGATAGCTACTCAGATATTACCTTAGTGAGGTCTTCCCCCATCATCTTATTAAAAACTGCAATCAGCCGCCTCTGCATTCTAGATAATTTTTCTCTGTTCTGACATTTAGTTTACTTAGGATTTTGTTGAATGTCAGATTAATATATTAAGTAAAAAGAGCTATTTGTAAGAAAAACCTTGTTCCTAATTTCCTGTTGTTAACTGTGTGACTTTCCCCCTTCCCAGCCTTCCTTCTCATAATATTTGGTCCTCTTGCTTTTGCATGGTTTCAGTCATTGCACTCTATTTTTGCATTGAATTGTTTTCACAAACTCATTGTAACTGACCAAGCCAGTTTTCAGAGGGGGTAAATTGCACAGGAGATTTCCTGTCTTTCGCCTGTTGGACCAGGTGGTGGTTTCCAAACTTCTGCCTTGGGGTTGTGACACTTCCTGAACTTTCCCTGGGTGTTGAATATTTTTGGTTCTTTCTCCTTTTTTATGTTGATGTCTTTGGTAAACATCTCAAATGTGTTCATATTTTTTCATTCATTTGGACTATTTAGGGAAATTTCCAAGAGGGAGCATATTATGTTGGCCACTGTTGGACTTGACCTTTCTGCAGCTTGTCCTCCCCCCAGAAAACCAGCACTTCATACAGTGACAGTGTTGGATGAATCCTTTCATACATGTCACTCTAGCCTACCCTCTACCCAGGCCCTGGATTTCTTACTACCAGGCTGTTTTCCATTTTATAGGTAGAACCTGTTTGTCTTTCCCTCCTCTCATTAAGATTTTAGTCTTGAAACCCTGTGAGGCAGTTCTCCATTGTCAAGGGACAATATTCTTACATCACTGGAGAGTAAATGATGACTAGGTTTTCAGTCTCTTGTGCCTTCCAGAAAAAGAATAAGTCTCTGCTTCAGCTTCATCCACTATTTGGGAACTCTTTTCCCCATTCTGCACCCCAACTCATTAGCCCACAGCTCTTTTGGTGAGTAGAGCTTCTGTTCCCAGCAGTCTGACTCTCATCCTTAGAGGAACATCTGGCTGGTTCTGGGCCAATCTACAGAGAGCCTTCCCAAACGAGCACAATTTAAGGCCAGTTTTCATCCACAGAAAAAGTTAAGATACAGTTCAGCTAAGCAGCTATTCACCTAACATCGTACAGACCAATATGGTGGTATCATTAGGTGCCATTGAGTTGATTCCCACTCCTAGCGACCCTGTGTACAACAGAAGGAAATGCTGCCTGACCCTGTGCCATCTTCACAGTTGATGCTGCTTGAGCACACTGCTCAACACACTGTAATTAGTCCAACTCTGAGGAGCTTCTTTTTTGTTGGCCCTCTGCTTTCCTAAGCATGATCTCCTCTTCCAGGGATTGTGCTCTCCCACGCCAATATTAGGCTCAAAGTATATGAGACATTTGGTGGTGGTGCTGGTGGTGGTGTTAAGTGCCGTCAAGTTGCAGGCGACTTATAGTGACCCTGTGAAGGAGAGTCCTCGACGCTTGGGTGTCTCTCATCCTCTCTCCAGGTTCATAGAGTTTCCAGAGGCAAGTTATTACGGAAGTGGAAAAGTCTCAAAACATTTACCAAAAAAAAAAGTATACGAGACAGTCTTGCCATCCTAGCGCCACAATCATTCTGGATGCCCTTCTGGATGTGTTTTGGCATTCCATAGTGTATTCACTCTTCTTCAGTCTTACTCAGTTTTTGGAAAGCCAGAATTAAGTACTTTATCTCAAGGCACATTTCTTGTAACTGTGTTCCATGCTGTGACAGTGTGTCACTCAGATGCCAGCTTATTAAGTCACTGAGCCTATCCTTATGAGGTCATTTTACTTTGGAATGTTTTCATTTGTGCTGTTTGGGCTTAGAATGACAGTGTCTCTTTTCTGTTAGAAACCACTGGGATTTTTTTTCCAAATCACTGAAGTCCTATGAGTCATGAATATGCATGTATATACTCCTAGAAATGGTATTGTCTGTTCCTACATAGCTGAGAGAGGGAGTTATTTTTGTTGTTTTGTGCTGTCAAGTTAGAACAAACTCAGAGCTGACCTTCCGATGGTTTTCAGACTATAAATCACACGGAGAAGATTGTCCATCTTTCTCTCCCTTACAGTAGCAGGTGGATTTGAACCATGTGTCTTTTCATTGGCAGCACAGTTCCTTACCAGTAAGCCACCAGAGCTCTCTGGAGGGAGGGAGGGAAGGATTGATTGTGCCAGGTGGGCATAGGACCTGGAGCAACCAAACCCTATGCTGGAGATGTGATCAGATGTTTTAGTTAATACCTAACACACATAACAAATCTTGAAAGCTTTGAAGAGGTGCCAAATGACGCAGTGTTACTTGTTTATTGGTTGAAGATAAACGTGTGATCCATCTTTCTTGAGGTGAGGGACTTAATCCAGCCTACCTGATTCCCCCTAACCTAGGTCTGGTTCTCTCTGGCAGGCAGAAGTAGAAGAGACCTTGAAGCGACTGCAGAGCCAGAAGGGCGTGCAGGGAATCATTGTGGTGAACACAGAAGGTATGTCCTCCCTCTTGCAGTGCCCTGCACCTAGCAGCCCCAAAGCACAGCATAACACTTGGCCATTTAGCCCTCCAAATAATTTTTCTCATTTTTTGGTCTTGTTTTGATACTTTTATTCTTCTAGCATTACTACTGTAATTCTAAATTTTGTAAAGGGAAAAAATAATACCACTATACTGACAAATCATAAATTTCAATTATTCAGTTCTTTTTTAACCTTCTAGACACACTTTTTCATGGTCATTTTCAGAGTTGTTACTCTTGAGTATGTTTACACATTGTTGTTGTTGTTATGTGCCATCGAGTCGCTTGCAACTCATAGCGACCCTATGCACAACAGCCCTAAACTCCGCTCTGTCCTGTGCCAATCGCACTGTCTCTGACACTCCCATCCCGATAA